TCATATAGTTTTACATGTTGCAAATAGACCCATGAGTGAAAAAAAATTTTACTCTTAAAATCATTAAAAATATTTGAGGAGGTGGATAGACCTCCTATAGTTTTATTGATGAGGACAAACATCCAATTTGCTATCTTTTTGAATTTTTAAATGAGCTAAAAAAGCTTACTAATGGGGTGAATTGGCACTTGGGCCAATATCATAGGGGGTCTATTTGCAATAAGTAGAACTATAGGGAATCTAATCGCAACAAATAAAAGTTTGGAAGGTCTGTTTACAATTGAGTGATACTATAGGTGGTCTGTTCACAATTAACCCACTTAAAATATCCTAAACCCTAATTTTCAACGGCCCAAATCACCCCGAATCCAGATTATTCGAGGGGCTAATAAATCGAATTTCTATTTCGTGGGTGAACGGCACGTGGTATGAGCAAGCTCCTAATCTGATTAAGGATGGGCGTTCCCATGGCCCGTTAATATTCGCCTTGGAAGGGAAACTTGGACCATGATCTGTTTTAGCAATGGACTGGATAGATGAGTGTATTTAATTAAATTTTATGACAACATTAGTTTATAAATAACAGTAAGAGTATTTTCTCTTTTGAATTTGTCTCACTTCTTTATAAAAAATGTCTGTTGCATACGAGGTCCTCGTCGCTCAAATAGCAATTAAATTTTTATCTTTCCACGATGTTCAAATAGAAATTATAAATTTTATTAGACTTAACATACGAGGTCCTCGTCGTCCTCCAACAACACCATCTCCTCTGCCTCGTTCTTCATCACCTCTTCACCTAATAAAATTTTATTTCTCTACTTGTTATTAATATGACAATTGCAACTTTTATTAATATCACAATTGCAACCCTTACAAAGCAATTTTATTTCTCTACTTGTTTCGTTTGTACTTGATTTTGACTATGGTTTTGCTTAAATTGATCAAAATTTTCTAATAAAAGCTTCACGACCTCCTCTCCTCTTTATCTCTCTTATTAATGGCACAACGAAATTTTATTGCAATTTTTAGCCTTAAAAATCCAACTCATTTCATTTCAAACCCAAAACTATCAGCTAAAAAAACCCCCAAAACTTCTATATTTCAAATGAGATTTACTTCCACCCAGCATCATATCATTCACAATAACCAAGGAAATAATCAAAAGTCAAAATTGTTAATAGAATCTAGGGTTTAAGAGAGGATTTAAGAGGGAAAAGCTCGCCTGAACCCGACGCTCCCTCTCCCTGGAACTTTCCTGCTCAGAGTCGAAGGCAAATCAAAGAACGAAGGAATAAAATAGAGTTAATTGCAAATAGAACACCTGTAGTTTGATCTGATTGCAAAGAGAACCCTCTATAGTTTTATTTGTTGTAAATAGACCCATATAGTTCTACATGTTGCAAATAGACCCATGAGTGAAAAAAATTTACTCTTAAAATCATTAAAAATATTTGAGGAGGTGGATAGACCTCCTATAGTTTTATTGATGAGGACAAACATCCAATTTGCTATCTTTTTGAATTTTAAATGAGCTAAAAAAGTTACTAATGGGGTGAATTGGCACTTGGGCCAATATCATAGGAGATCTATTTGCAATAAGTAGAACTATAGGGAGTCTAATCGCAACAAATAGAAGTTTGGAAGGTCTATTTACAATTGAGTGATACTATAGGTGGTCTGTTTGCAATTAACCCAATAAAATATCCTAAACCCTAATTTTCAACGGCCTAGATCACCCCGAATCCAGATTATTCGAGGGGCTAATAAATCGACTTTCTATTTCGTGGGTGAACGGCACGTGGTATGAGCAAGCTCCTAATCTGATTAAGGATGGGCCTTCGCCTTGGAAGGGAAACTTGGACCATGATCTGTTTTAGCAAATGGACTGGATAAATGAGTGTATTTAATTAAATTTTATGACAACATTAGTTTTATAAATAGCAATAAGAGCATTTTCTCTTTTGAATTTGTCTCACTTCTTTATAAAAAATGTCTGTTGCATACTAGGTCCTCGTCCCTCAAATAGCAATTAAATTTTTATCTTTCCACGATGTTCAAATAGAAATTACAAATTTTAGTAGATTTAACATACGAGGTCCTCGTCGTCCTCTAACAGCACCACCTCCTCTGCCTCGTTCTTCGTCACCTCTTCGCCTAATGAAATTTTATTTCTCTACTTGTTATTAATATCACAATTGCAACTTTTATTAATATCACAATTGCAACCCTTACAAAGCAATTTTATTTCTCTACTTGTTTCGTTTGTACTTGATTTTGACTATGGTTTTGCTTAAATTGATCAAAATTTTCTAATAAAAGCTTCACGACCTCCTCTGATCCTCTCCTCTTTATCTCTCTTATTAATGGCACAACGAAATTTTATTGCAATTATTAGCCTTAAAAATCCAACTCATTTCATTTTAAACCCAAAACTTCTATATTTCAAATGAGATTTACTTCCACCCAGCATCATATCATTCACAATAACCAAGGAAATAATCAAAAGTCAAAATTGTTAATAGAATCTAGGGTTTAAGAGAGGATTTAAGAGGGAAAAGCTCGCCTGAACCCGACGCTCCCTCTCCCTGGAACTTTCCTGCTCAGAGTCGAAGGCAAATCGAAGAACGGAGGAATAAAATAGAGTTAATTGCAAATAGAACACATGTAGTTTGATCTGATTGCAAAGAGAACCCCCTGTAGTTTTATTTGTTGTAAATAGACTCCATATAGTTCTACATGTTGCAAATAGACCCATGAGTGAAAAAAAATTTACTCTTAAAATCATTAAAAATATTTGAGGAGGTGGATAGACCTCCTATAGTTTTATTGATGAGGACAAACATCCAATTGCTATCTTTTTGAATTTTAAATTAATGAGCTAAAAAAGTTTACTAATGGGGTGAATTGGCACTTGGGCCAATATCATAGGGGGTCTATTTGCAATAAGTAGAACTATAGGGAGTCTAATCGCAACAAATAGAAGTTTGGAAGGTCTATTTACAATTGAGTGATACTACAGGTGGTCTGTTTGCAATTAACCCAATAAAATATCCTAAACCCTAATTTTCAACGGCCCAGATCACCCCGAATCCAGATTATTCGAGGGGCTAATAAATCGACTTTCTATTTCCGGTGTGAGCAAGCGCCTAACTGATAGGGGCCCGGAGGTAAATCTGATTAAGGATGGGCCTCCCCATGGCCCGTTAATGTTCGCCTTGGAAGGGAAACTTGGACCATGATCTGTTTTAGCAATGGACTGGATAAATGCGTGTACTTAATTAAATTTTATGACAACATTAGTTTATAAATAGCAACAAGAGTATTTTCTCTTTTGAAATTGTCTCACTTCTTTATAAAAAAAAATGTCTGTTGCATGGGCTAGATATTTAGTTGGTCAAATCCAGTTTATTAAGATGAGCTTATCAGCTAGTTTTTTAAAAGATGGGAAATACCAACTTCTTAAAATGAGATATAAACACTAGCTTGTTTGTGATTTAGCTAATACACGGATACGAAAAAGAAGCTTAAAAGCTACTTTGACGAAAAAAATAAGCTTCCTAAACATCCTCATTGCTTTATCAAACCTGCTGTGGATTCCCAATTGTAATGAGCTTTTTATCAAACCAGCTGTAGAGTCCTCCACAGGATATTATGCGAACTGGACCTTTATGTATGTCATAATATCACATGCTTCAATGACTTGCTTAATAATTGGAAAATGGACACATTTTCCAAAGGGGCCTGGGCCCAGCACACCAGCCTGTTATGGCCCACTGACCTGTTTTGGGCAGGAAAAGGATGTCCAACCTTTTTAATATGCTGCAACTGAGTTAGAAATTTGGAGCTACGAGACAAATTGCCGCCAGCAATTACTCAACAAAACGAACGTTGCAACCAATCGATGACCTTAACCTTCATCTGTAAGCACCAGTTTCTTCGTTACGAGTTGTTCTAAGTTAAATTTAGCCTGGCCCCTCTAAATTGCCACTGATTATTAGAAAACCCCTTCAGCACGCGCAGATGCACGTGCTCTACAAATGAAAGTTATTTTTAATTAACTTTTACGGAGAATTAAACGTAGCTGTAAGGTTGACTCATTAAAAGTACTAGTTGCACCATCTTTCTTATCTTTTATTTATGAATTTTCCTGACTACAAGTTTTCAAATTGTTACTTTATCAATAGAAAAATATTTTTTTTATTGTATTTCCTATTGACATTGCTCGTGCGCATGAAAATATCGGAGTAGCTTTATTAAAGTTTTCGCTTTAGTATTTTAATTGACTGAAATGACAGAGAGGCACGGGGGAAAAGATTGATAGAAGAAGAGGACAAAAGTTGAAGGTAAAGGAAAAGATCTAAATAGTAAAAATTACAAAATTATCCTCACAGTTTGAATGTGTGGAACACGTCCTACAAACTTTGGATGCCCTCACTCGAGCCATTATTCATTAGTATAGATATCATATAATCATTGTACCGTGTAGAAAATATTTACAGTTGAACTCTATGAGTTTAATGATGCATCAAAGGCATTAGATATTAGGCCAATAGATTGGAGGAGTAAAACATTTAACGATAGCAATACTTCTGAGGCATCATTAAACAATCTAGATATGAATCACTCTTTGACTTTCTGATGTAAGATCAGTGGAACAAATCTCCGGAGCCTCTAATCTCATTTACTTATGTAGGAAATAACAGCTCAAAATCCTCTACGGAAGAATCAACCATCAAAGTTTTTTCATCTCACTCTTATACACATTGTCATTCACATGCACCCCCTAAACTACACATCAATTTTCTGAAATCAACACAATCCAAAATAAATAATGTGTTTGTCGTGTTTCATTCCAGAAAACTCAAAGTCAAAAAATCATAATGCTAACGAAATCCAAAATAAATAATGTGTTTGTCGTGTTTCATTCTAGAAAACTCCAAGTCAAAAAACACAATGCTAACGAACTTAGCCTTTGGCCTGTTTCCAAACCTGCCCTGGCTGATTTAAAAGTTCTGGCGGTACATTGCAACTCGAGGACGCATTGTTTTGTCTCTCCATTCTTTCTTCTATCCCTCTTATCGCTCTCTCTCTCTCTCTCTCTCTCTCTCTCACAAGCCACAATCTTCAAACTCCTACCGTCGACAACAACCGTTGGGCCCCAAATGAGCGGCTGAGATTCATCGAAAACCAACATTAACTCCGTTGAGGCAAAGAAAGTAGCTAGCTATATATGGCCATCAAAGCTCCGCCATCGACGGCCGTTGATTCGGCATCCAACAGTGAGAAGGCGAGTTCAAGTGCTTCAGAGCCTGCTGAAGAGGTGATTATTTGTTGCCCTAAGTAATTATTGTTTATATGCCGGAGTTATCTTAATTTAGGTCTTTGAGCCTTTAAACACTATTTGTGTTAGGTTTCAGTGGCTGCTACTTGCCTCTTAAAACTATTTATTTTGTCAGTCTCATCTTATTACCTCCTACAATATTAAATTCGTCTTTGTTTATCCTCCGAATTATTTTTAGTCTTATGTACCCTTTGAACTATCACTTTTAGTACCAATTTACTATTTCTCTTTTCTTATTAATTAGTTGGTAATCTAGATGAATCGAGTGTTATCTCAGGTTGTCGTGTAAAATGGCATTGAAATGATAGTCTTGGGGGTGAGATTGAAAATAGTTAAGAGGTGTAAAATGGCATTGAAATGATAGTCTTGGGGGTGAGATTGAAAATAGTTAAGAGGTTAAAAAAGCGACAAATTTAATAGTTCAGAGGGTACGTAATATATAACTAAAAAAAAATTCAGGAAATTAATATAAAGAGACAAATCAATAAATTAGGGGGCAAGCAGGGGCTGAATCCTTTTTGTTATAGTGATCCCTCTCAGAAGTGAGAAGTTTGTGATTCGTGACAAGGAGATTAGGACTTATAATAGATAGACAATGCAGTTACGGCAAGTTTGAAAACTTTTAAAAAAATTAGAAAAAGAAAAAAAGACAAGGACGTTTATTTTCTTGCATTTCTTTTGGACTAGAACACTGAATATGACATATTTCATAGGGATTCAGATCCTTTCAACTACAAAAAAATAGTGGAGAGACCACTACATAATCACAATCATTGATTATCTAGTTGATGATTATGATTTTTTCTTTTAGTGCAAATTAGGAATGAGTGCAATACACGGGGGTATGGTAAGTGTTAGATTTAGATTGTATCATAACCGTCTACTAAATAATCAACGCTTGAGATTAAAAGTAGTGGTCTCTCCACTACTTTTTTGTAGTGGAGAGGATCCAAATCCATTTCATAGCTCAAGCTCGTTGCTACGAAACAACAAAGAAAGCCTGAACAAACGGTTGCAACCCGCTTGGTTTCGACAAGTTGTAACGTTTTGAAGGTGCACCGTTTCTTCATGAGCACGCAATTGGGACGTTATTTTCTTTATTTGGATTTGTTTAGGCTAAATATTGAGGTTATGGCTAATGACAAAGAGAGCGTGACAAAAAGACGAGGACGTGCATCTAGATTTGGATATTGGGTTTATAATTGGACTAGTTTAAGTTAATAATAGGGAGTTGATTTACTTTGTCCCTTCCATTAATTTACTTACAGATTGAGAAAAATATTAAGTTTGTGGATGCGAAATGTGAATTCTTGGTCCATCTAATTATAAAAAAAAATTATGTGTATCCACTGAGGACTAACAACTAGATGCTTGGTGCTCCCTGCTCAATTGTTACAGTTTGAATATACGGTTTTCTTTAAATTGGGACGAATTTAAGATGGGCTCAATTTATAGGTTGAATCCTTTGAAAACACGAGGGCATAAATTCAGGGACCACCTGAACTCCCCTGACTATGATTTTCCCATTACACAAAAATGCTAACATTTTCCCCAAAACAATTCTTAATGTTTGTATTTTATTTGTTTTGGAAATATGACTATGTTAATAGTCCTAGCGGTTCTGAATGGGTCGGTTACAGGTTAACCCGGGTTAATGGTCGGTCTGAGACCAGACCAAAATTTTGCATTTATCTTTATCTAGTAATTAATTCGGTCATTTTCAAATGAACCCACTTAAAGTGGTCCAGAGGATAAACTAGCGACGGAGAATATAACAACTTACGTAATTATGCAGGCAAAATTAAATTTCAATGATGGAAAAATATTTACACAAGCTACTCTAGTAAGTTTGAGTCCTTGAACATTCATCCAAAGAAAAGAGGTTTGCGTATTTTTAAAAAAAAAAGTTAAATTATATCTGTAACTACTAGCATGGGTTTGGCTAACCTGAGCCGTTCTGGTCTGGAGCTTGCACGGGCCGTCCGCAAACAAGGCCTGTTTTATAAACAGACTATTTGTAGGCCTCCAGGGCCATTTTTAATTAAAACAATAAAGAAAATGTAGTGCTAGACAGCACTTACATACCCTATTTTTCACCTACTTTTCACTTATATATAATATATCCCATTATATATTTGGTAGCAAGATAATATCCTAAGTTCTAAAACTGACATTTATATATCCTTATTTATTTCTAGTAGCATTTATATAGGCTAAAGTTTAAAACTAGTACTTAAATACCATAAAATTTATGAAAACTAGCATTTAAAAATTACACTTAGATACCCTCGAGTTTGCATAATTAAGAGTGTTTATGTGCGACTAGGGTATTTATGTGCAAATTTTAGAAATTTTAAAGTATTTAAGTGTGTCAGTTATAAAAAATTTAGGATATAAAAGTACCAAAAAAAATAAGGGTATATAAGTGCAAACTTTGATGTATTATCTTGCTACCCATACAAGTTAGACGTATATAGGTAAAAAGTCGGTCAAATTTATTAGCTTATCAATCCACATCGCGTTCGGCGACACGTTTCGTCGTTTGCCATTATGGGTGATGGTGACGTGCAAGCTATTTGACGCGTGTCACTGTCACGAGCAAGATTATTCTCAACCTAATACAGTACATATTGGGACCTTGAACTGAGGCCACAAATACCAACTTTCGGCGTGCGAGGTTACTTTTGTGTCGATAACTCCCTTTTCCTTTTTCCTAAAATTTGGCATGCTCTTCTTTTTTATATTATTGATTGAATGAAAAGTATCATTTCTCATGTGACTACTTAGTTTAAGTTACTTTAGAAAACATCCTCATTTATTTATAAGAAACTCTAATAAAACTTTTCTAAACATGACCAACTATTATAATAATATAATTATCCAAAAAGGTTAGTTGGTAAAGAATGACGTCTTCAGTATTTGCTTGCCCACTGCTGCCTAACAAGTAAAGTATGATGTTTATGATACTTACTGCTATGAAATTAAGTCTATTCTTTTGTTTGACACATTTAAAAATATAAAATAGAACGTAAAATTATCAAATACCAACTTTTTACGTTAAAAGAAAGTTTAATTTGCTTTCTCATATCCAAATTGAAAGAGATTCTTCTCTACGATTTACACCAGTCGAAATTACTATATGCTCTAGTAACCGTATAGGTACGCAGAAATTTCTCAACATCCTAATTAGCAAAAATTTGGTAAAAAAGGAAGAAGAAGAGTTTTTAAAAGTAAACCATTAGTATGATTCCACTAAAATCACCTTCAGACTTTAATATATATATACATATCAAAGGAGATTTCAATCGCAATCAACAGCTTTGATCTATTTTTTAATAAAAAATTTATCTAAAATTTTGAAAATAATACTACAAACACACGTGTCAAGTATTAAAGTTAGGTTACCATATTATTGATGTGGGGGTGCAATCGAAGAGAAGGCAAATGGTGCGGACCATATTAAAGAGCCGGCACTATCATTACTTTTCTTTTGTTTTTTTGTTTCTTTTTTTTGCTCTTTTGTTCTTTTTTTTTTTTGGTGAAATGAGGATCCTTCACAAAATTGAGGAAACCGCGACATTAATCATCATCTAAGTCAACAGTCAAAATGATAAAAAATAATAATAAAATAAAGAACCCCTAAGATAACTCTTCCAGCCTAACATTCGCATTATTTAATTGTCGCCCTGATGCGCCATTTTATTTGCTTCGCGGGACACATACAGAATTGGAGGAGAGCAGCATATCACCCAATTTTCCTTTGCTTCTTCTACGCTCGAATCCAAAGTACGGAGATTACTATTATTATTTTGCAATAACAAAACAATTTCTTTGCAAATCTGGCTCCACGAGTTAGTGTGCTCCGCAGACACCCCTCCCACATTTGGCGTCACAAAAACCTAGAGAACCTCCCCGTTACCATTTCAAGTAACTTCTCCTACACTTGAAACCTTAAAGCTACTCTCAAACCCTCCAACCACTTTTAATTTATTTTGATTCACTTGAGGAGGAGACCAACTCGTCATCTTAGGGCCCGTTTGTTTGCAAAAATTAGAGGGGGAAAGCAGGGGAAAGCCTGCAAAAGTTCTGACTTTTTCAGAACTTTTGCAGGCTTTCCCTCTCCAATTTGTGCATCCAAACGGGCCCTTATTAGATATCATATCCGATAGCGAGTTATCACAAATGATTTGTGTGTGCCTCCATTAATTCCCCCCAGATAATCTGTCGCCCTACTCCATGCGCATCTAAACCCACGAGTCTCTCTGTCTTGCCAAACAAAATCCTTATTTTGATGGTTCTAGAGAAGCCAGCAACCAACTCTTCATAGCTTAAATTGGGCGGTACAAAGTGACTCTTCACATCAAAAAAACTAAACTAGAAAAATTCTCTTCATGCGGATTGTGAAGTTATTATGAAGATAAAAGCCTTTCTTTCCAAATACTTACGCTATCTCGACAAAAGCACAACACGTCTATTTATTAATTCTATTACTAAAGAAAGGCAGACTTTTGGTTCTATTTTGGGTGTTCTACCCTTTATTGTCACCAAATGTATAAATTCCAATCATTGTCCTCCCAAATTACCATACTCCAAAATTAATGTAGGCACCATTTGGTAAAGGGTTAAGTGAGAAGTTAAGTAGACTTAATCCCTTCTTAACTAGCCAAACACAAAAAATCTATACAATGGTTAAAGTGAGTTAACCCTCCATAATTTGCCAAACATAAAAAACATAGAATGGTTAAACAAACCCTCTAGAGGGATTAAAATGAGATAACCCCTCAAAATGAGGGGTTTACTAATACTCCTATTTAGAAGGATTAAGAGTTAACCATTCTAATTACAAAGAAAACATTCAAATCATTGTTATCCCCAAACACTAAAACTGACCACAAAGGTTAAAATAAAACTTATTTAACGGATTAATTATTTAGTTCTTCAGATTATCGAATGAGCTAAGTATATTAATTCTTCTCTTTAACCCCTCTTCTTTAACCCTTTTGCCAAAGGAGGCCTTAAACTAGGAATTCCCTGAGAAAGCCATACTTACAAATTAACTGCAACAACCCACGTTCCCAAATAACCAGTTACCACTCTCACCCATCACCCCCTCAGCTCCAAAATTCAGGCGTAGGGGACAAAAGAAGAAGAAGAAGAAATGGGGTCATTAAAAAAAAAGGTTAAAGGCTAGCACATCCTCTCAT